ATCCAACTTAAAAGATAGGATAGTTTATATTATCTTAATACATATAAATTACGTGTCACGTTGTTTGTTTGCAATGTACTCCTAAACTACTGAACTGATTTGAATAAAATTTTGCACACTGTGTGCAGTTTTATCCAACTTGAAAGATAGGATAGTTTATATCTCAATTTATAATCGCAATATTATTTGTTTATTAACAAACAGTCATGATTATCTCTGTTAATTAATAATTATGAATACATGTGTGGTGTATTCAATATTTTTCAATATTTTGTGCTACTTTAGTTAAGATAATTATTCAATATTATAAATAAAATAAAAAAGAATAACAATATATATATATATAAAAAACGCTTACATCAATTTCGGAATCTTCTTTCCTTTGTTTTTTTGTTAATTTTTTTCTTTGATCCCTCCACCTTGTCGTACGACTTGTACTCTTTGCTTCCAATACTTCCATCAATCTTTCCTTATTTTTCTCTTTATCCTTTACCTTTAACTTTTCCTTCGCCATCTCTTCCATTCTTCTTTTAACGTATTCTTGTTTCTTCCTATCATTTTCTTCTTTAGTCATTCTCAATGCTTCCTCTTTATCCAATAACATTTTTTTCTTTCTCTCTGCATCAGTTTGTTTCAATATGGCACATTGTCTTGCCAATTTTGTAGAAAAATTGTTCATTGGTAATGGTTTAATAACAATATTATCTTTAATCATTGTTTCTTCATCATCATCATCATCATCATCATCGTTAATATTTCGATCAATTAGTTTCAATTGTTCTTTATATTTATTCGTTAACAACATACCAGTTGAATTTTCTTTTCTCGATGTACTAGGACTTTCATCATCTAAGTTACGATTATTAGATCGATTATTAGAAACTTTTTTACTACTTCTCAATGTCAACGATGAAGATAATTGTGTTTTATTTGTGTCAGACATTGAAATTGTATCATCTCTTCTTGAATTGGATAATATTTCTGATGATATCATTGTTCTTTCGTTAGGCCCATGATTTATTAAACTTTTATTTAAATCTGTATCTTTGTTCAACATTTTTTCTTCATTAACAAGATTATTATTATTATTAGTAAATGAATCTTCATTGGTACAATAATCTAATTTGTTTCCACGTTTAAACAAAGAAGAAGAAGAAGAAGAAGAAGAATTATCCTTCCTTTGCAATTTGTTCTTGTACATTTGACATTTATCTTCCGATTTGGGTTTTTTAATTAAACTAAGACTCATGTCATCGTCGCTGCTGGAATTAGATAATTTTGAATTAGTAATAAGCCATGATGCTTTCCTTTTGTTAACTCTGTCATAATTATTAGTTAAATTATCATCATTGTCGCTATTATTATTATTATTATTATTATTTATTAGATTTTCCTCATCTTCGTAATTATTGATCATGTCTATGTCTTCTTCTTCGTCGTAATAACAATTCACCATTGATGGTATTCTTCCAAAACTGTTGTTATCCGTATCCACCTATATATAAAAGAAGGATTAGAATTGAAATAAGTCAAGTGAAAAAAGACAATAGTCTATTGTTGGTTTTTTCTTTTTCTTTTCTTTTTTTTTTTTTTATAGAAATATAATTTTATTGAAAAAATGTCGTCATAGTTTACACTTTTGATTACCGCGTTTGTCTGGTTAATATTTATATATATGAATAATACACATAATATAGTTAATGGTAAATACAGTTTATAACAATTATTCAAATGTACTTTTATAAAAACTTACAGTTAAAGTTTACTTATGCAATCATTTAACCAATATGCATGTATATATATATATATGTATATGTATATATATGTATACCATTGTATGTATAAAGAGTTTAATATAAAAACAAACATATTCTTTATCAAAATGTATTTTTGTTTTTTTTTTGTAAGAGTATTAAAATATAAAATGTAAAATTGTAAAATATACAATTTACAATTTTATAAGAAGTATATTCTAATTAATTGTAGATCATTTACATTGTGCAAATTATGATATTAGTTTTATTTGGCGAATTTATTTCCTTTATTATTATTATTTTTTTTTAAACGTATTAATATTGCAAAAGCATAATAAAAATAATCTAAAATAATTAATGCTTAATAGATAATAGTATTAAATAAATTATTATTAATAATATAATATATATATATATATATTAAAACTCAAAGAGACAAACAAAACGATATGTTTAACTTGCATTTAGTTTTTAACATGATACATTGAGTCTTTTTTTTTTTTTCTTTTTAATAATAATAATAATAATCTTCGGTAGATATGTCATATTACACAAGATTTAAATTGTATTAAATAGAAGAAGAAGAAAAAAAAAAAAGGGATAGACGCATATTGTGAAAAAAAGAAAAATAGTAGTTATTAATTTTGTATATGCGAGTCAACGGCAATAATGAGGTTTGGAGTTACACACCTGAATGGGTGTCCCCCATTGAAACTTCAATTCGGTCGTACCATGGCAACTTAACAGATTCGCCATATTTTTCAAATGATTATTCAAGTCGTTCATTATTTTAATTGATTCTTCTTCGGTGTGCGTACCTTTGCAAAGTCTGAAAGGTAAACGTTCTTGAACTGATGATCGTTTTGGTTGTTGCAATGACACATCGTTCGGATTAGATTGTGAATCTAACGGATTGATCTTCCATCTATTGTTATGATATTGAAAATCTTTTTGTATGGATGACATTTTTTTATTATCTTCGCGTAAATTACAACACTCTTGTAATTGTGAATTGTTCTTTGATCTTAAACGTGACATCATATTTTTATCCATTGTGACTCCATTGTCGCTTCCATCGTTGTCGTCCGTACATTTTTTCTTATTGTTTCTCTTGTTACGTGGTTTAGGTGATTCCGAATTAACATTGTTACAATGTGTATTGTACGAACAACTTGGTTTAGCTCTGTTATTATCTGTTTCCGATATAGAATCTCCTCCTTTAATCGTTACGTCTGATTTATTGGTTATATCATTAATGGAATGTGACAAATCCTATAAAAGAAAAGAAGGTTATTTTAATGATAAATCATTGTTTCAAATATTTCATATTTAAGATTGATTATATTCTAATGCAAATTTGTACCTTTTGATTTGCCGTATTATTCGACATTTCTCTAGATTCTTGTAATACATCAAATACCTGCTTCATATAATCGTAAGGAACATTTGGCTGATACATTCCCACTTCTACAAATAAACAAAACAAATAATTAATAATGTATAAATGTGAGGTGATATGTTGTTAAGCACACCATCATTGTTGCATTAATGTATGTTCCAATTTTATTTTCATTCATTTGAATAATATTAACTGTTATTTACTTTCAAGTTCTTTCTTCATTTTTTCACGTTGTTCCTCTGTGTTAGACATACTGACACTTTCTTGATTATTAGACATATTTTTTTTTAATTTTTTTTTTTAATTAAAACTTGTCGTATGCAAATAATGTAACATTCATTAGTAAACAAAAATCTTTTATTACTTTTTGGTATTTTTGTTTTTTTTGTTTTCTTTTGTTTTCATTAAACTATGTAAATCTCAGTTCACATTGAAAATATATAATCAAACACGATTCGACGATAATTCTTTGATTATAACGAATATAAAATAAATACAAACTTTATATGCAGAAACAAATGATAAACAGTAAGATAACTTAAAAGTACATGTTTATAAAAACAAAGAAACTGCTGTTATCTAGTTACACATACATACAATCTCGTAAAACTAACAAATGCATTTAGCATAACCTAGAATTGTGAATACTTATGTAAACCTTATAAAACATTGGAGCTATTTGATTGGTTACTTCTTCGATTTCTATTGGCTCACGTTTAACCAATCATATCAACACTGCATTTAGATGTTGTTTTGAATATGGAGGGTAGAGAGATAGGAGTAACATCCATAGAGATATTACACATAGAACAGCAAGCTAGCATAAACCTGTCGGCGAAATAAAAAGAGATAGAACATGGGAAGTTGATGTTGTCTCTCTCTAACTTGCGCTGAGCGGCGCATGCGCATTAATCTGCTAGTAGAAGTTAAGATAGCTGGTATCGCATACATACGTGTACGATAAGCACGACAAGCCTAATGCGCATGCGCCGGTACCGCATGAGTTAGAGAGAGACAACATCAACCTTTCGTTTTTTGCTATATTCATGCAGAGACATTTCCACTAACACAACCGCCCATGGTTTGTCTACTCTATCTGTAATATCTCTATGGATGTTACTTCTTACCTCTAACCTCCATATAACAAATACATTTAGCATAACCTAGAATTATGAATACTTATGTAAACCTTATAAAACATTGGAGCTATTTGATTGGTTACTTGTTCGATTTCTATTGGCTCACGTTTAACCAATCATATCAACACTGCATTTAAACGTTGTTTTGAATCGCTAATTGCGATAATATTTATTATTACACTTTTTGATACTTCTTTATATAACCTCTGTTAATATTATTATGTTATTAAATAAATATTATTATTTAAACTTATGATGAATACCAGCAAAATGTTTCCTACTTTAATTAAAACATGCTCAAAATTCAGGTGCTTATTTTATTTATAATTAATGTATTTATTTTTTTGTAATATATTATATATATATATAATGAATAATTTTTCTTGTATATTTTTTAGTGGATTAAAACAGTGTAATAATGAAGTTATTAAACAAAGACGATATTTTAAACACAATATAAGAAATTCAGCTATCATATTTATAAAATATGATTATTTTCATACAACTTCACATTTCAATGAACGCACTGTAAGTTTAAAGGATAATATATTTCATATTGTTGTATTTCATTTATATTTACTTTTGTCAAATAATAATAGTAAAATATATTATGAATATGATATATATATATATATATATTTTTATTTAGAAAGAACTAAAATCATTAAAAGAAACTAAGACTAAAAGGCCGTTAGTTAATTTGTGGTCCGGCATGAAAGTCGACGAATTGGCAATTATTTTAAAAAGAGATATAAAAGATATTTTATCAGCTGCCTCCCTTTCAGATAAAAATAAAAGATATTCATTCGATTCAGATATAAATGATCCACAAATATTATCTAGTATCGTTAGAAAATTAGGATTTCGTTATAAGATTGTTCCAAAACCAACCGATGTGCAGCAAAAACAGGAAGATTACGATGCAGTTGTACGGTAAACAAAAAACAAGTTTTTAATGTTAACCTTTGCAATTTTATTTTCATAAACATTGTTATTTATTTGTTATATATTTTCCATATAGACCACCACCGGATGAATCTGTATTAGTAAATCGACGTCCAGTGGTAACCATAATGGGACATGTTGATCATGGAAAAACAACTTTGTTAGATGCACTAAGAGACACTTCGGTTGTGGATACAGAATTTGGTGGAATTACTCAACACATTGGTGCATTTAATGGTACACAATCAAACTCTATTTTTAATAATTATTATTATTATTATTATATCAGACTAATGTTAAAAACCCCTCCAAAAAAATGAAATTTTCAGTGGAATTAATTACGGGTGAGAAAATCACATTTTTGGATACTCCTGGTCATGCAGCTTTCACTTCTATGAGAGAAAGAGGTGCACAAGTAACTGATATTGTAGTATTAGTAGTAGCTGCTGATGATGGTGTAATGGAACAAACAATACAAAGTATAGATATGGCTAAAGCAGCTAATGTACCTATTATTGTAGCTATTAATAAAATTGACAAACATAACGCTGACATTGTAAGTTAATAATAATATTAATTTACATTGATATTACTGATAATAATTTTTATAGCTACAATCAATAATATTATTCATTCAGTTAAGAACGCAAAAGATGTTACAACAACAAGGTATTATCGTTGAACAACTTGGTGGTGAAGTTCAATGTGTAAATATATCTGCTTTAAAGGGAACCAATTTAAATACATTGGTAGAAGCTATAGCATTACAGGCAGAAATAATTGGATTAAAAGGTGATCCTACAGGATTGGTTGAAGGTGTAGTTATTGAATGTAGAAACGATAAAGCTCGTGGAAAATTATCAACTGCGCTTATTCAACGTGGTACTTTAAAAAAAAATTCTGTACTTGGTAAGTACACGTTGCTGTGGTTCACAATCAGTCCAATACACACGTCTCTTTAAGTCAACGAATTACCTTATACCGCCATCTGTTAGAATCTTATCGAACTAACACAGAGATAATCATGACTTTTTGTTAATAAACAAATATTGCGGTTATAAATTGAGATATAAACTATCCTATCTTTCAAGTTGGATGAAACTGCACACAGTGTGCAAAATTTGATTAAAATCGGTTCAGTCGTTTAGGTGTTCATTGCTGACAAACAACGTGACACGTAATTTATATATATATCAAAATGAAAATGTATGAGTGAGAATGATAATAAATTTTATTATATCTAATTAATCATTCATTTTTTTTCAGTAAGTGGTACTGCTTGGGCTAAAGTAAGATCAATGTTCGATCATGCAGGTAAACCTGTTATACAAGCAAGTTTATCGGATGCGATACAAATCATGGGATGGAGAGAATTACCCGATGTTGGTGATAAAATATTAGAAGTTAAGAATGAACAAGAAGCTCATACAGTTATTAGATATAGACAAAAACAAATAGATAATATTAAAGCTGAGGAACATAAAAAGGGAGCTGAGTTAAAATTGCACGAACATCTAATTGTAAGATTGGTTTAAATGTTATCATAATAAGATTTGATCTTCTTCAAATGTGCATCTTAATTTAAATTGAAAATTGATTTTATCAAAGATATTATTATTATTATTATTATAATAAATTATTAATTTATTAGGAATATACAGAAAGATTGGCAAAAAGAAGAGCAATGGGAAGAAAGTATTATAAACGTGAGCCTAGAAAAAAAGAAGATACAACGGATCCTACTCCAAAACTTAATATTATATTAAAAACGGATGTTAGTGGTTCTGCAGAAGCTATTTTAGATGTAATTGGTACTTATACAGCGGATGAACTTTGTCGTTTGAATGTTGTACATTACGGTGTTGGTTCAGTTACTGAAAATGATCTCGAATTAGCATCTACTTTTGATGGTATTTATATTACAATATTTTTCTATATATATTTATATTAATACTATGACGTCCGGTGGCTCCACGTTGGTGTCATGCGAAAAACTATCGAGTAAGTGCCGATAGCTTCACGTTGGTGCCATGCGAAAACTTTTGGGTAAGTGCCGATAGCTTCACGTTGGTGCCATGTGAAAACTTTTGGTTAAGTGCCGATAGCTTCACGTTGGTGCCATGTGAAAACTTTTGGTTAAGTGCCGATAGCTTCACGTTGGTGCCATGTGAAAACTTTTGGGTAAGTGCCGGTAGCTTCACGTTGGTGCCATGTGAAAACTTTTGGGTAAGTNTAACTGTATAAACTGTATATATAGTATCATATTATATATAAATGTATATACTGTGTATACAGTTTATACAGTTAAATCTGTATAAACACCGCCTGGTACAACTGCTTGAAATTCTAATTCTATAAAGTTATAATATATTATTTTTATTATTATTAATTATTAATAAGTAAATATATATAAATATGTATAAACTGTATAAACATTGGTACATCATATATACGAAAATAAACACTCAAATGTAACTGTATAAACACTGCCTGGTACAACTGCTGGAAATTCAAATTCTATAAAAATAATTTATTATTACTATTATATTATTATAATAAATAAATAAATATATATATATACAAAAGAAGTAATTAAAAAAAAAATAAAAATATGAAATATTTTACCTTTGCATTTTTGATGAGAAGTTTTATCTAAAAGAAATCAATAAATACAAAATTAATATGTAAAAAATATTATTTTATGTAAAAATTAATTAATTAAATCTTACCGCACAAAATATTTCCCTTCCATGAGCCATTTAAGGTTATGAATTCCATAGACACATTGTTTACAAATATGATTAACAAAAATATTATTAATTTCTTCATATTTTATATGTAAACTCTTAAACAATCATGTATAAATTGTAAATAAAAAACAAAACAAAACAAAACAATAATACAAATCAATTGATATTATTGTTAATATAAATATCACATAAACATTAACGTTGTATGTGTGATATAGATGAACTAAATATAATATCTGAGATAAATAATAATTTGTGTAATTTTTTTTCTTTTTTTTTCTTTTTTTTAAAATTCTATTTTATCTGATTATTCAGCATGAAAATATTTTATTAATTCAAAGATAAAAAGTGTAAGAATAATTTTACACAATTGCGCAAATTATATATATATATACATATAAAATATATATATATATATGTATACATATAAAAATCAATTTTAAGTTATGTTTAATCTATCAAAAAAAAAAAAAAAAAAAAAAAAAGAATAGATAAGATACATATATGAACACTTATAAAATTATCTTTTTGATCAGGCGTACTTAAGTTTTACAAAATTTATTTTATTATTTAGTATAAAAATATTTATACATTATACTTAATGATCTAATTTTAATATCAATGCTAACTATATTAATAACAAAATAAACAAACAAATTAATATCTATCCCATTGGAATATAATTTAATTTTGCATATTTGTTTTTTCTTTTTATTTTTTTTTTTTTTTGTAATTAATTAGCATTGATAAAACTAGATACTTCAATAAGTTTTTAATCTATTTATTATTTTATTATAGATATATATATATATATATATA